TCTTTAAAATTGTACAAAAATGATAATTATATTCTAATAAAATCACCAATAAATACTAAAAAATTTAAAAAAGCTTTATTATTAAATATCGACTTTATTTACAAATTATGATCTGTTATCATTACAACATTCTATAAAAAGGATAAGTATATTATACACGTGACATACTCTTTCTTTTTATTTCGTGTATCATTAATTAAATAAATTTAAAATTTTTGCAATGAAGTATCATAATATTCAAAAGCTGTATATATAATTAAGAAAATAAAAAAATAACAAATAATCTCCTTAAAATAAGAAGATTAATAGCATATGTTCATTAAATAATTGATATCCATTTGAAAAAGTATTTTTTTAACCAAATTTGAAATTTTTATCAAAATAAAAATCTAAATTCCATAAATATACAATTATATTTTTATAATGTTATCCACTTCTAAATCATCTTTTTGCATATTGCATAACATAATCTTTAACTTTACTTCGAAAGGATTCTTTATCTTTTATAAAGAGATCAGCTGCTTCTCTGTTTAAAGGATCATCAAAATTTAAAAGATCCTGGAAAAAATACAATTAATTAATTTAATCTTAAAGAATTGAATAAATATTCAATATATTCAATTTTTTAAGACTTACAGTGAAAAGAGAATTCAAACCCCACACAACATCCTTAAGCTTACGAGTTGGTGCCCATCCCATCTCATCTATACTACTTTGTCTTAAAATTGAAAGACATACATTGCCATCTTCATTTATATTAGGATGCCATAACTTTGTTAAGCACTTAACTTTTGGTGGCTAAAAAAATTTTGATAATATCACACCGATTTATATTAAATTATAAATGATAATATATTTACAGCCATATTATATTCTTCAGGTATATATATTTGAAATTGAAATCTTCCTCCAGTCCAATATCCTTCATCAGGAACAATCAAAAGGGTAAATTCATGTAAACAATGAGGATCATGAAATTTTACTTGACATGTAGTAGGTAAAGTTTGTTCCATTTCTTGAACCTAAATGGATGAAAGAATCAAAAGATTTTGACAAAATTATAATTTATTTAATTATTATTGATTTAAAACATTTGAGACATACATTATTATATCACTATACCTCTTTGATTAATAACTTGTCACGAACAGAAACACGTTTATTATAATCTTTATTTTTTGAATTTGCTATATCACTATCTTTTTTCAATTTTCCTCTTAAAGTAATCATATTTTCAATAATTCTAAAAAAAATAATTCCATAAAATATACAATAATAAAAACTATAATAAATAAATAAAAATACATTTTTATCAATTAACAATTACAATATCTAAAAACAATCAAAGAATTATTATGATTGTTCAAAGTATTATTATTTCTTTGATAACCTCTTTTTGATAAACGTTAAAAACATTCGAATATTTTATTAGTTTTAAGGAAAGTTAATAATATTCTCTAATATATTTTGTATATATTCGAAATATTTCTTATATAAATATTAATTATATTGTCACATATGATATAATTTTTATGATATTTATTATTGAACAAAATAATTTTAAGGTTAGAAAATTAGTTTTATTAATTATACCTTATACTATAAATATGGCAATACTGTAATATATGTTTATTTGTGTTTAATTCAAAGAAACTGCATTTTGTTAAATTTTATCTTAAGTTTTTCAAATAATAAATATCTAAAAGCAAACGGTAAATATTTAAGTACACTCAAATTATAAGTTTCGTATTGTAGATGGCAATACTGTTTTGTATCGAAGTTTGATTACAATCTTGCTTTTTCAAAAATCCCTAATTATCAATACCCGAGGACGATTTTTAAAGAACATGCTTTTTTTATTCATTTTCCTATTTTTATTCTAATTATTTTTATAATCTCATGTATGATCTCAATAACAAAGATTTAAAAATTTCACATTTATTTTATTAATTATTATATAATTATATTATTATTTCACAATTAATTTATAAATATATTCTTATATAAAATATATTGTTTTATATGTATTATTCTATTTATATAATTTTTCCTATATATTATTAACTTATTTAATTTACTATATATATATATATATATATATATTTTACATATATTTCTGTATTTCATTTTTAATATTATATTGAGTTATATATAATTCACATATCTGAATTTATTAACTACATCAAAAGCAATTATAGTTTATTCTATAATTTTAGTATAGTTTAAAAATAAAATTTATTGATTTTATTTAAACAATAGCAATAAAAAATATAAAAATATATATATTATATATTATATGAAATATATGACATATAAAAATACAAATCGTTATTTTTTTTTCTATTAAAAACACCTTTTTTAATCTGTCAAGGTTTATATTTATTATTACAATTTGTATAGACAAATAATAGAAAAAGATAATAGAATAATAGAAACAGACTAAAAATTAAAGAATCAGCGCTATCTTCAGTGCCGCAAAAGAAACTAATGTAGGTACAGATAGTAAGTAGTAAAAAAAGGACAATAATAAAATAAGAATTGACTTTCAGTGCCATCTTTTGAATAGTACAAATTTAAGTTTCAATATTTTTTAAAGAGATGGAGCTCTTAGTTAAATATTTGTTAAATTTTTGGCATTCAAAAGATAGCATTAATTTTGCTTTATTTTTACCTTTCTCTTGCTTCATTTGTTCATTTGCTTCATTTATCTATTATTTTACAAATTATAATAAACAAATTTGACAAATATAAAATTTTCGATTATTTATATACTAGAAAGTTTAAAATCTTTCTAATAAAAAAAAAAAATAGTTCATGGTCAGTAATTATTTTAGATTATAAAGAATATTTGTACGATCGGTATTTCAGAGCATGAAAAATGAAGTTCTATAAGATATATGATCTATTCTGTTCATTGTCTATGGTAATATTAATTGCTGTTTTAAGCTTTATTTACTGTTATTGTATGTGTAATATTATAATTTTTATTCAAAAATATGTGTTGTATGACTAACTATCAGTGATTTTTTGCAAATACCTATAGTATACAATATTTTTAAAATAATTATTTTAGAAATAATAATTAAATATAATAAATAATTTAGAAAGATTATGAATCTTAAATAATTTTGATACAAATCGCAATATATATCGCAATATATCAATTATCAAAAATGTATTCATTATATAATAATTAAAATAACTTGAAATGACTATAAAAGAAAATTTGTTTGAAATAATATTTAATCGTATGCATCATATTATAAAAAAAGCATAATTTTTATAATATTTACAAATTTTATATTATATATTTATAAATTTTTATATATTTCTAATTTTTTAAAAATTGTATATATAATGGTATTTAAATACAACTATTTTTTTTTATGCAAATGTATGTCATATTTGTAAAAGATTTGGCAAAGAAATCTCTTTAAAGAGATGTGGTAATTGTAGTATGATTTCTTATTGTTCTAAAGAACATCAAAAAATACATTGGTCACAACATAAAGATCTTTGCAATGCAATATGTAGTGTTTTAAAAGACAATACAATATCAATGACTTTAAATATTAAACAGAATGTTGACTTAAAAACTTGGGTTCAAATGAAAATGAATTTCATGTTACTTGTAGCAATAAAGCTTGATAGAAAATTAGAATACTATGAAGAGCAAATGTTCAAATTTCCTAGATCTTGTGTTACATGTCATGATCAAAATATAAAGATTCTTGAAGATTGTTCTAATTGTCCAAATATCAGTTTTTGCATAAAGCACAAGGATAATATAATACATAAAAAATTTTGTAATCTTTTAAAGTTATGCTTTAATTTAGATATAATTTCAATAACATATAATAAAAAAATACCAAGAATAAAAATACCACATCATACAAATCATATAAATTTACCTCAGAATATAAAAAATTTTATAGATTGTTATATTGAACCACAAAAAGATTTACAAATATCAATGGTAGAAGAAACAATAATTAATACAGAATATCTTACACGACCTTTAACATTCCTTTATGCAATACAAAAATTACAATATTTTTTGAAGGATAATAATATTATTATTCATATTATTGCAGCCAATATGATAGATATCAATGGTATAGAACTTTGGGAAATTCTCTTACATTGGTTACCATACACAACAATGGCAAAAATTATTTTAATAGGACCTGAATTATCTATAGGTTCTATATCAATGAATCTATGTAAAAATTGTCAATATAATAACAAACGATTATCAATTCAAATATGTGATACATTTTATGAGAGTTATGCAAATAGTAATTCATATATGAAACCAAATTTTATTATAGGATATAATGCAGGAATACACGAATATGAAGATTTTAAATCTGAAAATTATACATGGAAGCAATCTTTGAAAATAATAGCTGAACAAAACTGCCCATTGATTCTAACATCTTATACTTTAACAGAAGCAGAAAAAGAACAAATCAGACTTAATGAAATTTTAAATAATTATATAAAGTGTACATATTTTGAACAAAATCCATTTTCTAGTTTAAGACCATATAGAGATTTTGAAACTGAAGGAATATATTACCAAAATCAATATATAATTATTTATAAAAATTTAAATATTTTGCAATAATTATAAAACTAATGAATATTTTAATAATTTTATAATTTTTATAATGTAAAACATTAATATATATGATATAGGTTAATAATTTTATATCTATTTTTAAAAATATACTTTATAATCGATTTTAAAAAATGTATTTTATAATCAATTTAATGTAAATTTATACTATTTATATGAATTTATAATTATTTAATAAATAATATAAAATACTATTTGCATAATGATTAATGATTTGACTATTGATTATTAATTCAAAATATTATTAAAATATGATGATTTCATTGATTATCATTTCTTTTTAGTAAATGTTTTTTTATATTTACAATTTATTTTATAAATGATTAAAGTTTTATTTTGATTTAATTTTGATTTTAAATAAACAATTACAGTATTAGTAATAGCGAATCAATCATTCAATTAGTTTACTTACATTATACTATAGATGTCATACTTTAAATGTATTTTCCTGTTGTCAAAACTTTAGAATAAGTACTTTTTCTATTATCAAAACTTTCATATATTTCAAAAATATAATTATTTTTATCACTGTATGATTTATACTTGTATTTTTATTCCTCAATAATAATGGCAGAAATTGAATGGCCATGGCAATATAGTTTTCCTCCCTTTTTTACGTAAGTATTAATAGGTTATATTAATTTCATTCCTTGATCTATGATTTAAATATATTTAATTCAGATTTAAATATTTTATAAAATTTATATATATATATATTTATTACATTAATATAAACATATAAATAAATTTTTTACAATTGTAAAAAAAGTATTTATTATTTATAAAGTATTATTTAATATACTAAATAAACTATTTTTCAGTCTTCAACCTCATTCAGATACTAGAGCTAAGCAATTATCAGCATGGAAAAGTTTAATATTAGAATATTATCGTATTACAAAACAAGCTGTTATTGATGTAAGAGAAATGCACTCGAGTCCATTATTTAATAATACTGCAATAAATCGTATCCTTTTTTATAATAATAATTATTATTATATGAAATTTTATATTATTATTAATAAAATGATAAATTTATAATTTATTTATATATTTATTCCTAAATATATCTATATAGGAAAGTTACCATCAGAAACTGTTTTATTATTATTGGAAGAATTAGCAAAATCAGGAAATGCAAGTCCATTGGATAAAACAAAACAAAGATGGCTAATTTATTGGCATACTTTAGAAGAATGGGGTGAAATTATTTATAATTGGGCACAAGAAAATGGATTTTGTGGTTCTGTATGTACTTTATTTGAGTTAACACAAGGAGAAGACACAATTGATCAAGGTATGCTTTTTAAAACTTTTATTTACAAATGTTAAGCAAAGATTATTTTATTTAAAATATATATTTCTTATTTTTAGAATTTTATGGACTTGACACAGAAATATTAATTAAAGCACTTAAAACATTGGAAACAATAAAAAAGCTGAGTTAATTTTATTTGATGATAATCAAGGTGTTAAGTTTTTTTAAACATAATTATATAAAAGAATTGTTTAAAAAATGTAAATATTTTGCTATTCTGAAGAATGTGTTTATAATTATGTATAAAGAAATATATTTTATATATTTTTAAAGATATAATTACACATCAAATTAAACAACAAGGAATTTATATAATTGAGAAATATATATATATAATTACAAAATGTATTTCAAAAGTACATTTTTAAGTATAATCTAGAAGAAATTATTTCTAAAATTATGTTAATAAAATCTGTATAATAAATATTATATATGTACAGAAATGAAAAAAAAAAAAAAAGAAATAATATTAAGTATGATTTTTATATTTGTTGAATTCTATAAATATGTGGAATGTTTTAATATTATGAATTATGTAATATTTTTTATTCACATAAAAAAATAATTCCAATAAAATATTTTTTCAAATAAAAAACAAAATCTATCTTTAATATATTTATAAAGATAAAATGACTCAAGATTGTATCTTGTAAAGTACATTAGTGCTCAATTAGTTTTTCTTTTTAAGTAGTGATGATTTTCTTAAGTATCTAATAACTCCTGCTAATTATAATAATTAGTAACTACATAATTATATATATATATATATA